ACACAATCAAAAATGCAGGTCAATTCCTACGCAAACTACGGAACTTCAGTATAGAAAACGATGAAGTCATGCTTTCGTTTGATGTCCCATCACTGTTCACTTCAATCAACCACAACCTCGCATGGGAAACGATAGCGGAACTGCTTCGGAATAATCCAAACACGACGGAAGCCATGAAACCTGAAAGTATATGCAAACTGTTGGACCTTTGCATGGATACATACTTTACCTTCGATGGAGAAACATATCAACAGCTGAAAGGAACTCCAATGGGAACCCCAATATCAGGATTCATTGCTGAGGCGGTAATGAAAAGACTAGAGCGTGCGGTACTGCCGATCATCAATCCAAAGCTGTGGATCCGCTAAATGAACGACACCTTCGTCATCATGAAACGGGACACAGTACATGACGCATGTTTTTTGTTTTCTTTCTTGAAAATGATTCTTCTCTGAAGATTTTGCAACCTCTTTCAGGTCCTTTGGTATTGAACACATCCACAATTCAGTATATCATTCGCAGTCGAACAGACTTTTTTCGTGGATATATTAAGGTGTGCAGTGATTAAACTGCATGGGGAGGGCACTGTCCAAGAAATAATGGATAATTTTTGGCAGATTTACTGGACAACTTCAAGCGCACCAGTAACCCAGAACTTGTGCCCGTAATAAGCGATTCTACGTAGACGTGTCGGCACACCTTTTGAAATCATCACCATATAATGGACAACTTAATACTCAGACAGACTTAGCTTTTAACCACCACCATGGTGCTCGTCCGCCGGATCTCGTTGCTGGTGATACTGTACACCTGACGGACAGTTAAGTTGTATTCCTGGTCGTGTTGTTGAACAAAACTCTTATGTTATCTGTAGGATACGGATGGACCTTCGTATGGACACCAAATCGGTTTCAAGGCAAAATCTGCTCCCGAGCTAAATGTCCTGTGCAGAATCGTAAGATGTAGGGACAAACTTTAAGTGCTGGTCGATTTCAAGGAGCGCACGTTAGAAAGAACCTCAAATAAACATTGACCTGCACCGCTTACTCACTGTGTCCGAGTACAGCTTATGTGCACACCTTAGGTTCGCCCATCGATCGGCCAGCCAATAAACGTGATGTGGTGTGATGTGATGTCGGATATGTCGCTTTCACAGATGATGTTTCTGCTTCACACGATTGGTAGGCTTTTCTTCACCGCTTGTGTCGCGCCTCACATGTTTTAGTTTTGCAATCCTGGTTTTTTTCTGTGTGGAGGCTTCGTTCTGTAAGTGAATCCAATCTACACTGAAAAACAATGCACATCTCACGAAACCCCGGAGAGTCTCGAACCCTCGACCTTCCGGCTGGTAGTCTCAACATTTGGTCGTTCGGTCACGAGCGGCTGACCACCAGTGTGGTTAACTCGCACTTAGACAGGATATAGCGCCACCCATCCTTCAATCACGGTATCCACATCACGCGGTCACACTTGTTGACTGGCTCCTCGAGTGAAGTCTCTCCCCCCCCCCACTGATGCATTTCGGCAATGTATTCAACGGTAGGAAGCGCCACAACAGCTACAGAGGGCTTGACTCTCCAGCTAGGTCACCTTAATTATGATGTCCCCTACTACTCCTAGCGAATGTCTGTCGGTAAAAAGCACAGTAATGGTGACACCCATCTGACCGCGTACTGCAGCTATATCTGATAGGTTAGCTGGATCTCAGAGCAGTAAATGGGTAGGTGAGCCTATTGGGGGAACCAGCTCCGTACGTAACTGCCAGTGGAATAACCGTTTTCGTCGAGACAGATTTAATTGGTTGTTCTTCCCTTGCCCTTGACAGATGAGTTCTATTTCTAGGATCACTTTTTGGCTCGCCCAACACTTTCCACAGGAGCTTTATAAACAGCCCGTTTTCGGCTGCACATGACACGCCTTCACGCGTAAGTGTTCAGTAGATCAGCTGATTCGCACGTTCATTGGGTTTCTGATTTGGCTCAGCGCATCAGGCTGTCATGCGGCTACCCGGACTCGGATTCAAGGTATTAGGAAGGCATTAGGAAAACTGTGGTCCTTGATGTTCTAATCTTGCTACATATCTTCGTTATTCGAGTTTACTTCGATCTGAACTTCCTCCTTATCAATGTACGCGCCTCCCGTAAAGGAATGTGAGATCCATCGAAGCACTAAATTAGTCACCGGATTCATCGTCTAAGTCCCCGTACAGCGATCCTCAACAGGTACACTCTTATTCGTAAGCAGGCACAAAGCAAAATGTTCTCCACTCCTGATGACAAAGCTTTAAAAAGCGAATGTCGGAATTTGTACTTGCTGATCGATATTGGTAGCTTTACTTATTCTCAAGAAAACCGACTGATGTGTGACAACCTAAAATGGACGATAACTCCACTTAGCAACTTTGGAATGGAGGTGGTCCATTTAAATGTCCGGCAGCCAACATGGGATTCACGTACAACAGATTAAAAGGTGAGTCCTCGTTGAACAGTTTACAGAATAAGAGCCTAATTATGTTTAGTACGCACAAGAATTGTGCAAAAATTTAATTCACATATGGACGTTTTTCAGTTGCCACATGAATTGTTGATTGGTACTGTCATTTATAGCAGGACATTCCTGACATCACGCTTGCCACTTTTTTCTATTTCCTTGGGCAGCGGGTGACATATACCAGGTATTGATATATCTCCGGCTTCCTCAGAGTAGTAGTAGGCATTTTCTTGCCTTCACATTACTCAAACAACTAGTCTCATTTGAAAAACTTCATCAAGAGATCACCCTCCGAACTAAAAGTTCACTGGATATCATCTTTGTAGTTACCTAGGAATAGGCGGAGTGAGCAGGGTCTCATGAGTCATCGTATCCCCATCTCTTCGGTTTCATCCGAACTCAGTTTTTCGATGAGATATACTTAGTATATTGTCAACCTCAAAGGAGTAGTGCGACCACGCAACTGGTCACGTGTTGTGTACATTACGCCTGTGTTTATGTCTTACAGAAGGTCAAGCAGTTGTCACCCTTAAATTAATGGGTCAAATAATTCCGTACACAGGTGACTATGGTTTGTTACAACGTGGCACTACGCATTGCAAAACCTTTTACTGACGTTCAGGTTAACAGATACAGACTATCATCTAAAACCGTGTTTGTAACAAATAGCAAGTGACACAAATAGACAGTCGAAATGACTAAACTGGTTCCGATAACCAATAAACCAGCGTCAGTTTCAATATCATGCATCAAAATTGGTATGTTAGGGTTGGAAATTAGGTCATTTGATCTCTTAATTTGGAGTTCATCCTGCAGGTGAAGTCAATATAAGCCGAATGGCCCAAAAGTATTGTACAGCTGTTTCAGCTTCATTGAGGTGCGCACAGTAGATATCTCTAAATAAGAGCGAAACTGTTGTACAGTGCTTCTCTGCCATTCAGCATAGATTGGTTTAACTTAAAGGACGAAATCTCAATTAAATGTTCCAAAGTCTTATCAAACTACTAACATCTGACCGCTGTTTGAAGACAACATGATCCTAAACACTAAATGCACCTGACAGAGTTCGAAATTCTGTGATTTACTAGTACACGACTCTGAGGAAACAACACAAAATAAGACTGGTATGGTGCGGCTTCCCTCCTCTGATTGAAATAGACCCTGAACACAGACAAGAATACTGTTCTTTCTGGAGACACTCATCATAAATAAAATTGTTCGGTTTTTTTTAAATTTCGTACGAATCGAAAAACGCCAAGTTGGATTTCAGCCTCATCAAATTCTGGAATTGTCCGTTATGATCAGAGCATTGGTTGAGGAGTGGCCATCTTATATAAGCACCAAGAACCCGTGATTTTGAATTGTTGGTACTGATTGTCATTCAGAGAATTTTTGAGTGTGCACAACTTCTGTAAAGATGTGGCGATCATATTTGTACACACATGCTAAAAGGCAGTCACATATAAATCAACAGTTCATAAGAAGTCGTGTCGGGAACTCACCTTCGTGCTTTTCTGGTATACGCGGTATACGCCATACAATAGCCTTGTACAAATGTTCATATTTGGCCAAACCAATGCTAGCTTCGAGAATGCTTGGTGGAAGTAGGCTCTGTGCCATTTGGGTAATCCTTTCCAATCCCTTGATTCGTCCGGGTTTACGCAAGGTTGAATGAACCGATCCGTACTTGTGATGTTTCTCCACCCGAAAATGATAAATCCAATCTTCGGGGACTGGGATATGAATTTCAACATTCTCACAAGCGACCGCCCCCTTTCGGTTGCTTGCACTGAAAAATCCTGGGACCAGAAGTTCACAGCGCATTGACACACGGCGGCCATCGATCCCATAAGTTGTTCTAACTTGCATGGGGAGCTCCTTATTCCCTCGAAGACTAACTCGGAATCGAAGCAATTCAAAACGACATCCGTCCAGTGGAAAGAATTTAAGCATATGATCAACCTCGTAGGCATCCAATTCCACACATGAGTGAAACTCAGGACAGCGTATGCTGATCCATTCATCATGCATCACCGGAAGTATGTCTGATCGTCGAACTACTTCTCTACCATAACGCCACTTATCGTTCAAACCAAGGACAATATGGGGACCACCGTTCACAAATGCAGTACACAGAATTCTGGTACGAGCCTTCTGTTCTTTGATGATTCCTTCAGCAGATACATGGGCTTGGTATTCATCTACAACGTAGCAGCACACCTCCTCACGATTATATGTCAGTGAGGTGTCTTTGTGTGCGGGAATTTGCATCAGTGCATCTTCGAATACGCACATGAGTTCGCGTATTTTCTTCTGATCAAGAGAACCAAATTTGAGAATTTCCGTGTAGACTGGTAAGTGATCCACAGCTACGTTCTGTTTGGGTTTATGGGTAACCAAATTTTGAAGACTTTTTATGGAAAACTTCTCAGGTCTTATACCAACCATTTCGCGATACGTAACATGGTTCAATTTGAACACGTGCAGTTTTCCATACTTGTCATATTGTTGCAATTTTTCGCGCGATAATTGCATATACGGTTCAATACGAATGGATCGATAAGGTTCAGAGGCAATTACATCAGACTTGTCATCAATTTCATGCAGGTTAATAACCTTCCGTCCATGCTCCATACGAAAACAGATGGCAATCTCCCGCCAATAACGATCAGTAGTGTATTTACTCACTTGCTTTATTCTTGTCTTTTTTTCTGGATAACGTAACCAGAGTCGATAAAATGCACCATCTTTTGCTATAGGATAGAATGGTATGTCCAACTCCGGATCTGGGGTATCTGGGCGCGGAGGTTCCGGTTCGGTTCTTTGGGGTGGCATGACCGGGGCAGACCAGTCTACCTCAAAGGTCATCTCAGCGGGAACTAATTGTTTGTCCGTTTCATCCAGGATCTCGGCAGATTCCGAATTAAAATTCACCCACCCAACAGGAGTCGGATGTCTTGCCACAGGCTCGTCTGCCGCCTCCGCATCTAGTGAAATCAATTCCGATTCGACTTTTTTCGACTCAGCTGCAACTGGTTGTGGACGTGGAGGAGCTGTAAGAGTAGGCACCTCAGGGGAGTTTCTAGTTTGATCTCCGTTCAAAACTTCAGGCTTATCTTTGATTGTGATTGAGATAGCTTGACTTTCTGTTTGGGTTTGTTCCTCTGAAGCTACAGATTCATTATCGCTTTCCGGATAGATAGTTTGCAGTGGATCGAAACCGTGTGTTGGTACCTTAGCGTTTTCAATATGGTCAACGTCGTCAGTAGGGCCCTCTTCTGTACTTTCACCCGCGGCTTGCAAACTTTGTTCATTTCCCAGTTTGTCATCAGCAACTGAACTGCCAGAACTCTCAAAACTGTCACGATGCTTTCGGACTGGGTGTTGAAGACCTATTAATCCGATTGAAGCAGCCGCTCTTAGCAGTTCATCGTCCGGTTCGTTATCCTCACTGGTTCGTTTCCTGAAAGGGTTATTTCCGGAAAGTGTTTCTTGTCTAACCGGTTTGGCACGTGGACGAATCGCGTCTTTACTTGGTTGCTCGTACAGATTTGCCTCCTTTTTGGATCCAGGCTGTGCACCGTTCCCAGAGTTCACAACAGCAGACCCAAAATCGTCTGATCCAAAAGGATCGGGCTCCGCTCCTACATGGCCATTAGGCTCCACGTGAATCTCGCCAAATCCACCCCAGAGTACATCATCAACTGCGGTAGAATCTTCTACGTCGCTGCGGTCCATATCTTCTTGGTAAGGAAGTTCAATTGCCTGTTTTTTAGACGAGGTGTCTACATACTGGATCTCATGTGCGTTCATTTCAGCATCATCACTCAGCGGATTCGTATCAGACTGCTGAATTTGGTTTGGTCCTGAAGAATCTAGGGACTCTGCTGGACTGTGGTCACTCTCTTGCTGTACATCAGAAGTGAAATCGGCAAGAGCTAGATCTCTCGGGTCGTCGACAACGTCGGTGGCCATGCCAGTACTGGGACTTAAATCAAGCCCTAGCTCTTCCAAAGGATCTACTTCGGTTTTTGGCTTAAGGCACTCCAATATCTGCAGTGGGTCAGAACTGAGGGGTTTTTGATTATTTGGTTCGTTTGCTGCTTCAATTCCTAGGAATGTGTCGATATCCTTTGTTAGCCCAGTTGCTGTGTCCTCTGAAACGACCTCAGTACCGAGATCGCGTTCTAGATCAGTGATGCTCTGGTGTTCCTCTTCGTTTAGACCAGAGCGTTCCGGTTCATCCGATATTTGAACCAGCGTGTCTGTCATATCACCATCATGCAGCACAGCATCTATCCCTTCTGACTCTAAATTGAATTCCTCACTGACTTCTGAAGGTTCGATTTTATCTTCCCAAGGGTTGAACGTTTGCACGGCAGCCGGCTCTGTTTCTGATCCGAAAGCGCTGTCGAAGTGGGCCCAGTCCTCTGTCTGGTCCTCCTCGTCGTCGTCGTCTTCTTCGAGCGGATGGGGTTTAGATGGAAGTAGAACCTTAACTTTCGAGGCACTTTCTTGAACTGTATGTTCAATTTGAGCAGTTAATTCTTGGAAGAATTCCCAGTCTTTGGAATGTGTGTCGACTGGCTTTACGTCTGTGTCAGCTTTGCTCTTGAGAAGACGATTGAGTTCGTCTTGTTCCTTCCTCTGCCTACGTTCAGCTTTGGTCTCCCCTCGAATAATACGTTGGATCGCCTTTTTGGGGTTGGGGACAATACTTTTCTCAAGGTGCTTCCGAAAAGGAAAATTGGGATCCGGGTCGGATGGCAGAGGCCCTGGAATAAACGAAAGAGAACGTTTTACAGATTTGTACACTTTTTGGTGGTTCCACTTCGCACAGTGAAACAGAACAACTCATTTAGTGGAAGAACGGCACGCTCACACCAATAGGGGGAAAAACCTTTATTCGAGACAGTTCACTCTGCATCCACGAGACCTTTAGTAAGGTCAGTTGAATAACATGGGACTTTGCGCTTTTAAGCCGACCTCTTCATAAACAAAGATAATTACTTATTCCTATATCGCCTAACAGATCAGTAGGCTTAGAAAATTTCGATTGATTTAGTGCCATTACTGTTCACCGTGATAATATGAAAGTAAATTTACTCGTGAGCGGACAGTCAGTTGGAACCAAGTGGAAGATTACAGGATACTACTGTGAACAATCTTTGGTCAGGTCGTATAAAAGATCAAATCCAAACTTTGAAAATCTTTCTTCTGCATGATGAACTTAGTCGTAGCTCAACTTAGGAAGCGCCTTTTATCGACGACTGCCTATCTGAAGATATTTTACTCTGCTGAAGTTTCGTGGCTCTACCATAATTCCTGTGATCAAACGTCTTGGCTATTGGTTGCCTAAACCCAATCACCACCGGAACAGGCTCTCTACAGCTTCCTCCAGGGTTGTGACTGAGTAAAAAGTAAGCGGCAAAATGTTAATCTGTTCATGTTTCAGCAGAAACCAGACATAAGTATTCGAAAAAGTGACATTTTCATTTGATTCTGGGAAGTGCCCAACAAATCTCTTGATACTATCAAGTTGTACATGAATTGAAAAACAATAAGGGTCAGTTTTGGAAAACACTATAAACTGTATGAAACTGACCAGTTGTAGACGTTTGGAAAACCAAATATGTGAACAACTAGGCTAATAATGATAACGGATCAACAATGGTGCAGTTCAATCCCTCCCTAGTCTTTCACTAATGACCTTATAACCTACTGAATGAAAACGTCAACATGCCGTAAAATGCTTTTGCATCTGTGTCCGTTTTTCTCTACTCTAATCAGAACAATAACGGCTAATAATGATAACGGATCAACAATGGTGCAGTTCAATCCCTCCCTAGTCTTTCACTAATGACCTTATAACCTACTGAATGAAAACGTCAACATGCCGTAAAATGCTTTTGCATCTATGTCCGTTTTTCTCTACTCTAATCAGAACACTAACGTATCGGACCACTTCAGATCGCTTAATGAAAGTCTTCCTCCGTACAGTATTCATCATCCTCAGTTGGACATTATGGTGGTGACAAAAAGTTGTCCCTGAAGAGCCAGCGGCAATTTGCAAAAACCCAACTTCTTTAACAAAAACCTACTATTTTGTCTTTTTCGTTTGAATTCAAACACCTTTCGCCAGCGTTATATGAAATCGTCCATGATAAGCTTGAATGCATATCATTTAAAATGAACTTGACTGATAGTCTATATTTTGGAAACTGTTCATGGGGCTCAGCGAAGAGTACTGAACAAAACACGGTCCTTTGAAACCAGCGCTGGCGAATTAAATGGTGGAAACAACCTTGAGTATTTTGAATTTACTTTTGGTTATTATACCAATAAATTTCTGAAAACGATGGCATTTTTGATTGCGATTTGATATATTGGTGTTGCTAATCATGGTAGGTTTGGACAAGTTCATTGGCCAACAAACAGCTTACGAGCGTAGTTTCCAAACTTCAAAGATTTATTGTTAACCAGCAAGCAAAACCGTTTTTTCCTCAAAACTACTCATAACTCGGATATATTCCTCTCTAAAGGCAATCGCTGCAACGGCTACCCATAGAGAGTGGTTCGGTCACTATTGATGTCTCGTGGTCATACTGCTGTGCAAATTTACTTCGGATGATTTGAACTCTTTTCGTGCCAGTAAAACGCTGCTGTGACCAAAGTTAGAGAACGGTGAGACAAAAATATTGTCTGACTGGTTGGATTAGTGCTATATGTGACCTACGGACAACTATGACAACAACACAACACCTTGAGGTCTTTTTGACATCATCGATCAGTCGAGCAAAGTAGTTTATTGATATGCTGTCCATTTGATGGCTAGAGGTGCGTCTCTTCACTGAAACAAGAACTAATACTTAAGTTGACTCTCTTAGTTTCTCACCGGAAAATGAGCATGTTTTGATGGACCAAGCGTGGTCAGATAGACCGCAAGGTCATGCAGGTAGGTTTGTTAAAGAAAATATCAAATGCGATACATCAGACGTAGAAAATGTGAAATAGTTTGCTGAGAAATGATTTTTTTGGTATCCGTTTTGCTTGTATGGTTTGGAGTGAGCCAAATTTCGAATTTTTGAGCAAAATTATTAGGTTTATATTAACTGTGACAACTATTTCAATCCAGTTTTATAATTTATTACTTTTGTCGGAAAACAGAAGACAGCAAATCAAGTTTCTGACAGTGCTAAGTTTACGGGTGCTGAATCCTGTGTAACTAGCTGCATTGATTTGCTGAGTGCATGTTGTTAACCGATTATCAAATCAACTTTTTTCTTTTCAGACTCACAAAGATTGTCAACAGATTATCGGATCAACTTTCTCTTTTCAGGCTCACAAAGATATCGATTACAGACAGTCAGACATCCAATTAGGTATTCAGCACTTAAATGAATCCGCTTGAACGCTACAACCGTAAAACTTTCTGCCGGATGCCTTAGAGGTTAGACCACTCATCCGCCATCCACTTAGGCATTCAGCACTTAAATGGATCCGATTGAACGCTACAACCGTAAAACTTTCAGCCGGATGCCTTAGAGGTTAGACCACTCATAGTAAAACAATTAAGAGGCAATGCTTGATCTACTGCGGCAAGTGGATGATGTTATCTGAAGGGAATTCATTCGACACTTTTTTATTTGTTACCACACTGTTTAACACTGTTCTACGGCTGATCTTGTGGCAGAGTACAAAAGTGGGCTTAGTCTCGGGACAACGGCCAAATCGATCCTATTCATCGTGTTCCGGAGGAAAGAGACACAAATCCGTTAGAACGCGTTTTGGTCGCCATAAGTGTGCGTCTTAGGATGTAGACTTATAGACCCAGATACGTAAAGATCACTTACGAACTCCATTGGTTAACTCAACATTTATAAGGTGAGTTTGGAAAACAGTATATATAGTCGTAACCTGCGATAGCGCCTTTGTCCTGTCTTGGTTCGTCCTGTAGAACCAACGTGTCACCTTTTTGAGGTGGCACAATTTTGTGATGTTTTTTGCTACTGAACCCACACCAGTAGTGCGAAACATTCAGCAAATAAAATGGAGGACTTGAGTTGCCTTGTGGGAAGTTCACGCAATGGCATGTTTTTAGTGTTCCTCTTCCAAGGATGAGTGAGAATAGGAGTTAATTATCCAGCAACTGATAGATATAACGGCTTCACAAATGGGTGTCTTGGTAGGTCATTCCATGTTTCTTAGAATTCCACCACACTTTATGCACGGCGAACCAAAGCGACCGGATGGTATCAAATACTCCAGTGCGTTTGTCTTATTCTGACAGCTACCATTGGGATTTATCGTCCAAAGACAAAGAATTAAGCAGTATTTTATGGAAGGTATAGGATCGAAGCCGCTCTGTATAATCGCTTCATGTTACTTCCGCAATGAGGCCACACATTGTATGGGCGATAGTGTAAAAAATTTAAGGGAACTGAGGAGGGAGAATCATTGTAAAAAGATATTCTTTGTGAGACAAACATTTGTAATTCGCCGTTCCCAATCTTCAAATAAATATTACACCACAAGTATGAGGAAGACAAAACCGAAAAATATAAACAACAAACCAGAGGCTCTAGATTCGGTAGAAACAGAAATCAGTTAGCCCGAAAATGGTTGTACTCCGCACTTCGTCTTGATTTGAACCTGGAAGCTAGGTGTAGTAGGATGAGTCACATGTTACTTTGAAGGCCAGTTTTCACCGCAGCAACACGGGAGTACCCTTAAATAGTCCGAGTTCCTATAATATTCTTTGCCTTGTCTTTCCGATCTTAGTATAAAATGTGCTTAGCCTTTTTTTGTTAACAGTGTAGATGAGATGCAAAAGTTTCGGAGCCAGATAAAAGTACGAGGCCTTAGGTACATGGCTGTTGGTCCACTATGCACTAATAACATAAACCAGATAGTGCGCTAACTTGTTGTAGAAAGAGGACGCCTCGTTCGTGGCAGGTATGGTGGTAAGTTTAACCCCGTTGTTATACAGACATGCTGCACAGCGAATTTCCTAACACTACCAGCTTTTCATTCTTCCGCGCACAAATGTCCTTTGTCTGCCAAACTCTAAACAATTCTCACATCGGTCTTCTGTTTGTTAGCTGAGTAATGGTAATGAAAACCTTTTAGAACCCTGATAGTGTGTAAGCGCCGGCAGACAAACATTGCTGTACTACAGTTTGTTGATAGTGTAAACATACTTGAAAGCTTCAATTGAGATTGAAGCGAAACCTTGGCGAAGAGTGAAGAGGCTCCGCAGAGCTGTTGTGCAAATCTAGCATAATACTTTGAAAATGAGCACGACGGAGTTATTGAGACAAACACTGTCACCATCTGGTCTGGAGGGGTCTTGTTGATCTTTTCCGGACCATCTTTGCAAAAAACCTTCATAAATATTCGGGATGAATTTTTACTAAGGGTGACATTTTGACTCCTGCCTCTTAAATGACGGTTCAAAGTAGCACCAGCTCAGTCTTGGCATCATAGATCTTTGCGTCTATTAGGAAATTCCGGTTTTCGGACTGTTGGAGATAAGGCTAACCGCACTGATCAACGGGGGACAGAAAGCAGTTATTTGTATGGAGAGCGTAGGACATTGCGCTACGACATCCGACTGTCCCATAATTGAATCTACTTAATGTAACTATTGATTATAACTAACTGGATATATGCATCAGAGTCCTGTTAGCCATCCAGGGTATGTGACTAATCTATATCACAAGTTCGAAAGACACTTCACACTACCGGTGGGTTCTCAAAGCTGATTTCTCTAGTTAAAGTGTTGTGAATGTGACATTTCTTGTCTGTTTCAGAGATCTAGTGGCGGTTTGGTAACTGGTGCGGATACGGATCCGTCCCCGATCTAAGGTGCTTGGGGAAGCTTGGTACTTTGTTTTGCTAACTGTACAAACATTGACCGATACCAGCCAATTCAGCAACAATGCAACCACGACGAGATTAGGAATCGCCATTGGGACGCAGTTGATGTACCAAACAGATTGCCGCCTTATTTAACGAGAAGTTTTTATCCGGGACAACGATCACTTTTCTTCGAAATCCACGAATTCTCTTCTCGGACTAAATACTGATGCGTCCAACTTGTTTTTGTCTTTTCGCGATCAGCGTGAAACTATTTGGATCGCACATTCTATGATTCTGATAAAATAGAGTAGTAGTTTCTACGGTTGGTACAAATCCCTGCCAAAATCAAATAGACAATCTGTCATTGAGTTGTCAGATCACAGCTAAATGAAGAATTCATTCGGGTCTTTGGTAACCAAAGTTTGCATTTTGAAAATGTGCAAGTTCTACCATTGCACTTCAGATTCATTATAGCGAAGCAAGCTTACACAGTCAACGATGGTTGCGCATAATTTTATCACGTAGAGATGTGCTCAATAAGGAACTCCTTTTGATAGTCACTTTTACCATGTTTTTCAATCGCTGTCGTTTAGATAGGATGGGTTTTTTTTAATCATCAACTAAATTTGTCTTCTGGGTTACGAAATATGATTGGACAATACGTAAATTGCGCATATAAGCGGACACTAGCTGTGATCTTTCTACAACTGTCTGATGTACTGTGGTCGTTCGTGGGTGTCCGAAAAGTACTTGATTGTGCTGGACCGGAGAAGTCATGTTGAGGTTACCTAGTAGGTATGATTTGTTGTAAACACATGACGCTTTAGATAATACATCTTTATTCAGTAACTCGGTGACACGGATTCATCTGTATCAAGCATACTCAGGGTAAGGCTGTTCTCACAAAAATGAACATCGGTTACGTATTATTATTTTTCATGGATATCTGCGCTGTTCATACAGAACTCATGTTACGTCTGCCTTCTAATTGAAGGAGACAGAAGAGAGGGTAAAATTCCTTGTCCTTACTATCTCTTCTGAGTATCATGATGGGCTTACGCGGTTCTCAGTGCCGATCAGATCTATGGCACGTGTTTCTTGTTTTTGCGATTGATGTTGATTGATGATGAAATACACGGGCACTCTCCTATTCTCGTACAACTATGCCTCAAGAACATGAATATGAATGATAAAAGATAAAAATACGATGAGGCGAACAACGATATGAATGACTGACATTCAAGTCAGATACGCGGATTAGCCATGGCCAAACCAGTGAAATCCTGCGCATTGTAGGAAGCAAAAGACACAAAGGAATAAGATAAACGTGAAGAGACAGGTCGCAAGCCATCGTACGGCCTAGACATGATATATATGTATATATTTAAAGTAAATGGTAACAATAATAATTGCCCAGCCTAGCTGCAATGCCATCTGAAGGAAGCACGAAGGTCAGGTACTCCCAGGTTGTCCAAGTCTAGACAGAAGCAGCTGAGATGCTGAAGTTGGGTTCGAACCACGGACCTCCTGGTTAGCTAGGTTACGCTTTAACCACTGAGCTGGCTCTAGGTCCATGAGCAAATAGAGCGAACTAATGTGTCTAGAAGTGTCTCACTTGTTAACGTTTATAGATAGACAGATCAGTGCCAAGCCAACCGAAGCCCATTCTTCACTACGGTATAACAGTAAACCGGCCTTTTAGGTTATCTGCTTAGGTTTCCCAAATCTTCTCCCTGAAGGATAGTTATTTACCACAGTTTATACAGACTTATTCGAAAGAAAGCAATTTTATCTAACCAAAGACCTCTACCTAAGGCAACATTTCCTTACCTGATTGGTTGCATCAAGTGCGAAGAACTTAGGTAGATTCCGGAAAAGTTTGGTAACAATCGTCATAAACTGAAATAAAAACCTACTGACTAGAGGTGCTATGCGACAGTATTTCCGTGGATAGCGCCGCAGAATCGAATGCAGTACTTATCAGTTGTCCTTCAGCGGGCGAGAGAACAAGCGAACCTGCATTGCGATTGGTTCGCGAGATTCTGAGTGCCAATGTTTCAAAATAAGGACGAAGCCGGATAAAACCTAGTTGTGGAAATATAAATGACCTTAGAATCGCCAGCCTGTGAGAATAACCAATGTTGTTTCATAAGCGTCTATTCACCACGAGTAGCTCAGACGCAACATACTTTGAAAAGCAACGACATATTTACTTCGATCGTAGTGCTAAGTGGCGTGTTTAATTACTCTTCTACTGTGATTCGATTCGATGCATTTGCTCCTTTTCTAGAAAGAGACCAAACCTAGAAAGAACCATTCCTGGTAGGGCGATTACTAAAAAACCCGGCGTAAAAATACAAGACCCCAAGGGTAAAAGGTAGTAACAAACTCACTGTAGGATCAAACCCCTGATTAGGTTTTGTCTAGCTCGAATGACCGTATAGTATGTCCACAGATAAAACCATTCCTACTGCACGTGATGCGTAATCTACAGTAGCCAAGGCGGTCTGCTTGGAAGCAGCAACGTCGTTACGCTGAGCGAGAGTAAACTTATTTGAATACAGCGATCAATGGAATCCCACAACACATCCGTAGAAGATGAAGGTGTGGGTATACGTTCGCGGGGGTGGATCCCTAATCTGGTGAGGTTTGTCTATCCTTAATCGCGATTGGTGCGTTCTGAGTAGATGATTCGGTTGACGGAGCGGAAGTTAACGCCTGCCGGTTTCAGTGGGAGTATACCTAAGCCTGTCCGTACATCCCAATGTATGCCACAATCAATGGCGAAGCCAGTGAATCGATTGTTTGTCCTTCGCAAACAAAATGCTGCTACTGTTCTCAGCCACCGTTGGCAATTTACATGCAAGCAGGTTGACAACTTTGGCTTATCTTGCAACGATTAAGATGCATTCCCCATTTCGTACGCCCATGGTAGTCAATGGAATGTGAGATCAGTTCTTACGCCACTCTAACATGGGTAACATCTATCAAGGAAACTTTAGAGGGCATAACTTTTCTATCCCATTTGGGGCTAAGAAGGGGGTAGAAGATGAAGCAGCTTTGTCAATTCACCAGGCCAGGCTAAAAGTGTGGAAATGAAAGTTGGTATGCAAACAACTTCCGGACTGGGTGCGGTCATAACTGATGCTAGATGATGCGAATAAAATCCATGCAAAGTGCAGTGAGATTGTTCACCTCATCAGCTGGTCAAGAAGCTGAGCGTCGAGATAATAAAAAAAACGTTTACCCCGTATTGTGTTGCGTGCTCGGAAGCGTCGGGAAACAATAGAATACAGACTATTTTATGCACCGACTTGATGAAGCACTGGCGACAGATAACATCCTTTCGTCGCTGTTCGGAAAAACAGATTTTTTGAGTTCCGAACATGAAGTAGGCGCAGATATAAGTTAGAAAGCCGTCGTTATATTGTGATTCATTGCTCGATAAACGGGATATTTCAGGAAAATTATGTCATTGAACAAAAGTGGCGTAAATTGCGCCTACACTGAAAATGTCATTGTGAAGTCATGGGATGGCTGCGAATTTCTCAAGCTTAGGGTTTTTGCACATACATGCTCAAAATTCCAGAACACCATAATACAGTGGTACCTCCAATGCTTGGATTTGTCACTAGGCACTAGTGAAAACGCGCTAAGGAAGATTTGGACAATTAAGATATTCGCTTGAGTCAGTATATAGACGATTAAATAACAATGCTTGTTTTCATAAAGGAAACTACTCACAAGGTTGCTGAAAACTCTTCGGCAACCCACGACCGGTTTCGCACTTCTTGGGGCTCATCAGGTAGGCGCAGTCCCCGAGTTTCCGTCAACCTTATGATCTACAATGCTTGTTCCTCACGCCTAACCATTTTAGACAGCAAAACATAAAGGTGAATGAGGTCAGTCTGAAATCCCGTTGACAATTAAATATATCCACGGGTAAATATGGGGAGCGAAGTAAAATGATGTTAACAGAAATTCGGTCATAAACGGGAGATTCATCTGCGCTTTAGGTGAGTCCCCCGAAAAACAAACTAGTTTGCAAATGAGGGTGTTTCGCAAATTTTTTGCGATTCGTGTCCAGTTAGAACATGAGAATGGCGAAGACTCGGGGGCTTCGCCCACCTGGTGAGCCCAAAAAAGGACGAAACTGGTCGTGATTTGTCGGAGAATTTTCAGCAACAGTATGAGTAGTATGTTACCACCAGACATTAGATCAATTAATCCAGACCACTGTGTTCAAAAGTCCTTTGACCTCACACTGGCCTAGTTTCGCGTCGTGGTCTGATAACGACGTGGTCAATCTTATTCAATCACACAATAACCCGTTTAACCCCTTCGTCCCGATCACACATCTTATTTCAGACTAGCATCATTGAAGTTTGCTGTTCTCCAGTCATGAGGACCAAGTCGAACCGTTAGACTTAGAGAAACGGGAAAAGTTCTTGGAGCGATGTTTTAAAGAAATGAAAGTTATTATTGGACTAAGTAGACACTATCATCATGCTACAATTTGATGGTGATAGAAGAAAAGTGATCTACCATCTAGTCACATATGAAGCAGAGGATAGTAAACAAGCGTCTGTATTTTGTCAACAATGACC